TGTTATCTTAAAACTTTTAGATCTGCATTTTGTTTGGTTATTAATGTAAGGGTGACTTTATCTCTGATTCTCTAGGTCTCCTAGATCACTAAATCACGTGTGCCAATTGAGATCTTGAATTTAAGCACATTGTGCTTTTTACTAAATGCTGGAAGGTCCTTTTCCAGTAAGTTGGCTCACACTTCAATCCATGTTGAGTTTGTTTGTTTTGAAGCCTAGTTTTTGCTTTAATATGCACATCTTTCAGGCACAGTCTTATTCTAGGCAAATATATGGTTTTCTTTTTTTAGCTCGTAATTTCCAAAAACATTAATTTCATACGAGCTTTTGATCTCAGTCCATGCTGAATTGCAGATGCATCCTGGATCTTAGCTTTGATTCTTATGATATTCAATTCAGGAATATAAGACATGCAAAGTTGTTATCTTTATACCTGATTTTATATAATAAAGCTGAATTTTGTCTGTTCTTTTATTTGATTCAGAAAATGGCCTCACACATTGTTGGATATCCCCGCATGGGACCCAAGAGAGAGCTTAAGTTTGCTTTGGAATCTTTCTGGGATAAGAAGAGCAGCGCAGGAGATTTGCAAAAGGTTGCAGCTGATCTCAGGTCATCCATATGGAAACAGATGGCTGATGCTGGGATCAACTATATCCCCAGCAATACTTTCTCTTTCTATGACCAGGTGCTTGATACCACATCAATGGTTGGAGCTGTTCCAGGTAGATATGGTTGGAATGGTGGTGAGATCGGATTTGACACTTATTTCTCCATGGCCAGAGGAAATGCCTCTGTGCCTGCCATGGAAATGACCAAGTGGTTTGACACCAACTAGTAAGTTGCCGTACTTGGTCTTACTTTATTAGCTTTATTCTGCATGTCGAGTTTTCTGATACTAATACTTATATTCCATGCAATGTGTCATTTCAGCCACTTCATTGTTCCTGAATTGGGACCTCATGTTAACTTCTCTTATGCATCTCACAAGGCAGTTGATGAGTACAAGGAGGCTAAGGCGGTATGTTCTCCAAGTCTAATTTTTGTATTTATTATAACAATGTAGATTTTTGTTTGTCATGTATACTTATGCTAGTTGCTCAGTTAGGACTTAGAGGCAAGGTATCACAGTGAATGTTAAGATTCTGTAAGTATAGAGGTTGCCTGAAGTTAGAGTGCTGAGGTACATGAGCGGTTTTTCACGAAATAGAAGATTATGATGGAAATAGTAGGATTTATATGTTCTAAATGCATAAAAGCTTATGATGGCCTGAGTTGGGGATAGCTTCAAGGCTTTGGACCTTAATAACCATCCTTTAGGGTACTTTCTTCTATGCAATGGCTTAGAACTTATGGTTTAATGGCTCATGGTTCAGGGAATGGTCTCATGTTTGTCATTACTGTGCCTGAGATTTTATTTAAATAATAGTTTATAACTCTCTAGTTATTGTATTTTATACAATCCAATTTTTGAGAATGCCCTGAGTGAGAATGAGAGTACTAATTAGACCCACTTGATTATGGTGCTCCGTTTTTATTCTGTGTTTTATAGTTCTTATTAGATGTTTGTAGTCTTATTATTAAACTTGGATGATGATTCTCTGTCCCGCATGCAGCTTGGAGTCGACACTGTCCCTGTCCTTATTGGCCCTGTGTCATACTTGTTGCTGTCTAAACCTGCAAAGGGTGTTGAGAAGACCTTTTCTCTTCTCTCTCTCCTCCCCAAAATCCTCCCTATCTACAAGTAAGAGTTGGTTCTTTTTTTGTCTTTGAGATTTTATTAATATAATTAAAATAACTGCTCTAATTTGCTGTTATAACATTGAATCTCTCTACAGGGAAGTTATATCTGAGCTTAAGGCAGCTGGTGCTTCCTGGATTCAGTTCGATGAACCCACCCTTGTCTTGGATCTTGACTCTCACCAATTGCAAGCATTCACCGCTGCTTATGCTGATTTGGAATCTACTCTCACTGGCTTGAATGTTCTGATTGAGACCTACTTTGCTGATCTTACTGCTGAGGCATACAAGACCCTCATTGGATTGAAGGGTGTCACTGCTTATGGTTTGGATTTGGTTCGTGGAACCCAGACCATTGATTTGATCAAGAGTAATTTCCCTAAGGGCAAGTACCTCTTTGCTGGAGTTGTTGATGGAAGGAACATTTGGGCCAATGATCTTGCTTCTTCTCTTAACACCTTGGAGGAGCTTCAGGCTGTTGTGGCCAAAGGTATTCTATTTTCGTTTGCATTTTATGGCTTGTAATTACATGGTGAGTATTACAATTTTCTTATTTATTATTATTGATATCTGTGAATTAATTTTCTGATGTGCAGACAACCTTGTGGTGTCCACCTCATGCTCACTTCTCCACACTGCTGTTGATCTAGTTAATGAGACTAAGCTTGATAATGAAATCAAATCCTGGCTTGCATTTGCTGCTCAGAAAGTTGTTGAAGTCAATGCTCTCGCCAAGGCATTGGCTGGTCAGAAGGATGAGGTATCTCCTTATAATTTTGCCACTTGTTTTTGCTAGTTTTCTAAGAACTGGGAGCTTCTTTATATGGGCCTTAAGCCTTCCGGGGCTTGCTCTTTTGTACTTAGACTTTTGATGCTTTTTTAAGACTCTGATGACACCATCTCACGTACTAGTAATTCATCTATTTTCAGGCCTTCTTCTCTGCCAATGCTGCTGCTCAGGCTTCAAGGAAGTGCTCCCCAAGAGTGACCAATGAGGCTGTTCAAAAGGCTGTAAGGGTTTGATAAACTAAAATTCCAATTGTCTTTCAAGTGACTGTTCTGCAGTAATCTTTCTTATTGTGAAAATCTTTTTTTGCTTACCTTGTTTTACCGTGCTTGCATTCCCAGGCTGCTGCTTTGAAGGGCTCTGACCACCGTCGTGCAACAAATGTTAGTGCTAGACTGGATGCCCAGCAGAAAAAGCTTAACCTACCAATCCTTCCCACCACAACCATTGGATCCTTCCCTCAAACAGTGGAACTCAGGAGAGTCCGTCGTGAATTCAAGGCTAACAAGTGAGTTAATCTGGAAAAGTTCCTTTATATCTTTTGTATAAAATGTTAACATATGACAATTCTTTTAACCAGTGATCTCTTGTTCCCTTCAGAATCTCTGAGGATGATTACATTAAAGCCATTAAGGAGGAAATTAAGAATGTTGTTGACCTACAGGAAGAGCTTGACATTGATGTCTTGGTTCATGGAGAGCCCGAGGTGATCATTCATTTTTGTTTTGGTATTTTGCAGTAAAGGAGATACATCTTTGGTTAGTTCTTGGCAATTGTCCTAACTATTACTTTAAACTGTGCAGAGAAACGATATGGTTGAGTACTTTGGTGAGCAGTTGTCTGGTTTTGCTTTCACTGTTAATGGGTGGGTGCAATCTTATGGATCTCGCTGCGTCAAACCACCAATAATCTATGGTGATGTTAGCCGCCCCAAGCCAATGACTGTTTTCTGGTCATCTACTGCCCAAAGCATGACTCAACGCCCAATGAAGGGAATGCTTACCGGCCCTGTTACCATCCTCAATTGGTCCTTTGTCAGAAATGATCAGCCTAGGTATGCACAGGAAAGCCAATAGGGGAAAATGGTTGGAAATATTTCATTTCTACCTGCATTTTTTGCTTTGCAATATTAATTACGTTTTAACATTCTACCATTGCCAATTCCAGATTTGAGACTTGCTACCAGATTGCCTTGGCCATCAAGGATGAAGTCGAGGATCTAGAGAAGGCCGGTATCAATATTATCCAAATTGATGAGGCTGCTTTGAGAGAGGGGTTGCCTCTGAGGAAGTCTGAGCATGCCTTCTACTTGAAATGGGCTGTCCACTCCTTTAGGATCACCAACTGTGGTGTCCAGGACACTACCCAGGTTTGTATATTCCTTCACTCTTTTCAACTCTCAAAACTTTCTTATTCACCTACCCTCTATGATAACCATAAATCTTATTGGTCTCATCTTTAAAATTCTGACAGATCCACACCCACATGTGCTACTCTAACTTCAATGATATCATTCACTCAATTATTGACATGGATGCTGATGTCATCACAATCGAGAACTCACGTTCAGATGAGAAGCTCCTGTCAGTCTTCCGGGAAGGCGTGAAGTATGGTGCTGGAATTGGCCCTGGTGTCTATGATATCCACTCTCCCAGAATACCATCAACCGAAGAGATTGCCGACAGAATTAACAAGATGCTTGCCGTGCTTGAGACCAACATCTTGTGGGTTAACCCTGACTGTGGGCTCAAGACTCGCAAGTATCCCGAGGTTAAACCAGCCCTCAGCAACATGGTTGCTGCTGCCAAGCTGCTCCGCACTCAACTTGCCAGCGCCAAGTGAGAGAGCTCATGAGAGAAATTGGATATCCTCTTCCATTAGAAATTTTCTTTTCATTTTTTCTTCTCTCTCCTCTTGGATTGATTTCCAAGAGAAGACAGAAGAAAAAATGAAAGAAATTTCTGTCTTACCATTTGAATAACTGTGTTTGTTGATGAAATATTTGCCAGGCATAATATGCCCTTGAGGGCAACTGTTTTCCTTCTTCTTTGGTTTTTTTTTTCTCTAAATATTTTGTAATTTTTGGAATATATATGAAGCCTTCAGTTTCTCTGAAAGGCACAAAATTTCCTAGTGTAACTTAGCCGAATGAAAATGTCATCACTGGTTGTGCACTGATGATGCCAGCTTCCTTTTCTATTTGCTATTGCCTTCAAAGCTGTTGCCTCTTTTCTATTTAGTGTTACCTTTCAAAGCTGGTTGTGCAATTATTTAAGTTAATTTCCACGTAAAAGTAATTAAATGCAATCAACTAAATCCGACCTTTTAATTTAATTATTTTATATAATTATTTTTAAAAGATAACATTTAATAAATTTAAAATTTAAATTCTAATATTTATATTTTTTTATTTCAAATATACTGGTGTTTTTTGTAAAAAAAATTGAATGAAAGCTAAAATAAAAATTCAATATTACAAAATTCAAACATTTATAATATTATTACGTGCTTGGTTAATTTATAAATGAGTTGGGAACTCACCATAATATAGCTAAAATACAAATGGAATCATAGCCTTGACACCCTTGGGAAAATCTTCAAATTTGGAAAGGTACCATCTCCTAGTGGCATAACTCCTACCCAACAAGTAAAAAGAAGTGCCAAGAGAGCATGAAAATGAATACAAAGTCTGGGAAATGAAAGCAAATCCCCAAAACACTAAAACCTCGAACAAATAGTGAGGGCATATAACAATGTCAAACAAACCACCCTTGGGAATCTTATATTCTTTGGCACCTTTGCTTCTCAGCTTGGAAAGAAGGTAATGATGGTAGAAATTGCCACTTATTCCTATTAAAAACAGAAGAATTCCAGGGTACTTCAAATCAACTGGTGGCTCTGGAAGCCCCATGGTGAGGTGTTGGTTAAAGATCATGAGTGCACTGGCTGAGAAATAACTGAGAAGTATCACTATCATTGTGTCAAAAGGCATTTCACCACTGTATTTGTGAACAAAAAGAGACTGCAAAACAAAACATAAGAACAATGAAAAATGGTAATAAGAACTGGGGACAGTGTAGCAAATTTTCTCATTTTTTGTGAGCTTGGGACCAATATGATATCAGTCACCGAACCCAAGCTGAAAACTTCATGTGAAATTTGTCCTTATCCATTACATCATCACCTTATCAACTGACACTTTTCTCCACCACGAAAATGAAAAAAAAAAAAAAAAAAGAAACTTTTAGCACCAAATTCTAGTACCCTTTATCTCTTCTTGGTGAATCAACAATCAAATTTAAGTTTTTCATAGTCAATAATTGCACTAAAATTTTGATTGAATGAATGGTGACAGTGGTTTTTGTAAAATTAAAAATAATAAAAAAAATTATTATAATTGTGATTGAAAAATTTTAATAAAAAATTTATGTTAAATAAATTTTATTAAAATTAATATTTAAATTTAATTAATAATTCGATGAACTCAATTATATTATATTATATTTGTTCTATCCCTAGGTTCTTACCATTTAAGTACGTAATTGTTACCATAAAATTTGAATTTTGATGTTCATGTTGATAGTGTTTGAATGGTAAGAAATTTTTTATGATACCATAAGCATCAAAGAGATAATCTGAAAAACAAATTAAATTGAAAAAAAAAAGTTTGATTTTATCAAAATTTAATTTAATTAATTCATACAATAAAATAATTTCTAATAAATTTAATTTCAACTTCTATAATTTTTTCATCTTTCACAATCTTATTTGTATAAAAAATTTGATATTTACACTTAAAATTATAATTAATAATTTATGAGAGAGAGAGTTAATTAATTACCTCAAGAACTCTCTTGAAGAAATGGATGGAAATGGCAGATCTGAGCAACAAAAACCTGAGACCCACATCTGGGAAAATCACAAAAGAAGAAATCCCAGCAAGGAAAGCTGGTGTATAAACCATAACCATGCCAGCTCGACTCGAAAACTTTACCTTCGATTCTGCTACAGCAGAAGCTTGTGAACCAACGCCAAAGAACTTAGAATATTGAAGATGTTTCCCTCTTATTTCTGATAACCCAGAAATTACCAACGGTGTAAAAGATGCTAGAGATGTTGCAATCACAAACATAGAAGGTGGGAAAAGAAATTTCACCCAAGACATTTTTTTTCAGTCTAAGATTCGTTTTTTTTTTTTTTTTTTTTTTTTGTATATCTGCAGGCGCGTGAACGTAAAGATATGACTTTATAAAATCTTATATGCTAAGAATGTTTATGCATTTTGATGAATTGCAACCACATATTGCATGTGTGGTTGGTTTTAAGATTATAGCCAAACAATATCCTAAGGGAAGAGGAAAATTTTATTCGTTTTTTTCTCATGACAGGCATCCTATAATTTTATTTATCAAATTAGAATAGTTTTATATTTAATTCTTAAAATATGATAATTTGTACATTTAAAATTTACATCATATATATATATAATAAATTATATAAAAATAAAATAAATGATAAATTATTTAATTAATTTTAACTAAGTCAAAAAATTTTAAAATACACGTATCTTGAAAAAGTTTCAGCTTCTCTTCCTTTTTCTCTCGTCAAATTGTCCTCTCTTTGTCTTTTTTTCATTTGAATTAAAATATTCATGCATTGTTATTTACTAAAAATAAACTATTGATGTTTAAAGGGGATTCAATGAAATGTCTAATAAAAACTTTTTTGTTTAAGAATTTTATTAGCGAGGGATCCAATGAAAGTATATCAATGTATTGACAATACTTCAAAATCTTAACTTTCTGAAATTGAAACTGAATTTAACAGCAAAAGTTGATAAAGAAAGTAGAAAGAAAAATAAAAGGGAGAGACTCCATGGAATATAGACCAATATTACTGCAAAATAAGTAGAGAGAGAAAGAAAGAAGAGAAAAATCTAAGATCTATATCAAAAGATGTAAAATAAGGAAGAAATTAAAAAAAAAATTTTTAAAAAAATTATAAAATAAAATTTGAAGGGCATTTTTTTGGTTAAAAGTGAATAATCATGGTGCGATGGTTTAATATTTTTAGAATCATTCAAAGAATTTTGTGAAAAAGATCCTAGCTGTTGTCCAAAAAATAAAGATTAAATAGAAATGAATAGTTATTAAAAAAATAGATGAATAATTTTTATTGGAAAGAAAAAAAGATAATTTGAAGGTAAATTGAAACTCCAATACTTTTTAGTTCTACTCTAGAAGCTGCTTGAAATTATTTGGTGTCCTCGAGGAATCTAATAACATTCTATGCTTGGCCTCAAAACCCGCATCCTTTCAATTAATGGTTTTTGGTTTTGATAAATATTATCAAATAGCAAGATAAGTTTATACTTGTTGTTAGGGCATGTTACAGTGTTGCAATGATTATCATCTGATAAGCATTGCAATTTTTTAAGAGACAAATAGTAACAATGAAAAAAAAAAAGAAGAGAAGATCAAAAAAGAAAGTGACTGACCTAGCTAGCTTGTGCATTGACTGACCTAGCTATGTTGGAAAACCATTTTGACTAGCTTGATTTAGGTCCTTTTTTGCCCTGCTGAGAGAAAGCAATTTAAAAAATAAAAACTTGAAGGTCGAATAATTATGGCATTTGTGCTAGTTCTTGATTCGACTAGTATTGAAACGTAAAAGTTGATCTTTGTTTAAGCTGCAGTTACTAGAAATGCTTGAAATTGACAATTATTTAATGAACAGCAGCGTTACAACGAGCTGTAGATCATATTGCATGGCATTGAGCATATTGCTGGTGTTCCTATTAACAGACTTCTTTGCCAGAATTAGAGTCTTGATGAACAGATGTTTCTCTAAGTTTTGATTGTTCATCTGTGTTTTATTGTTCCTTCCCTGTAGTCTCCTGCTTTTGCACGTTGGCTTCCTAATCTTTTTTAAAAAAAAATATACTATCTAAAAAAAAACACTCTCTTGAAACCTGATTTATTTATTTCATTATGCTTGCTGCTGTTTCCTTACTACACCCTGACTTGTTTTTCTTTGTTTCTCATTATTTTCCTATGACTTGGAATTGTTGGCTTATAGATATGCAACATTTGTACAAGAACCTACTGCAAAATGTTGCTCAAAAGAGAAACCTTAGCGGACCTGTGTATTCTAGTGAGTTTGAAGGTCCTCCTCATGCAAGGTCACTATCAATGAAAAAATGTATGAAAGTTTGGAGTTCTTTCCAACAATAAAGGAATCTGAACATGCAGCTGCAAGAATTGCTTTATTGTGTTTGTCACTGGATGGTATTGAAGAGGTCCAATTACTGATTAATGGAGTGTTTTTCCCTTTATTGATTTACTGTCGTTTAGGATATTTGTGAAAATGTTCAGTTTTTGCAAATCTTTAGAGGTTGAATTTTTGTGTTTTCTTTTTATGCTTTTGTTTTCTTCTTCAGAAAGACTCTAGGTTATACAAGAACCTTTTACAAGAATTAACTCAGAAGGAAGGTTGTCCTCTACAGTTACACTACAAATAGATCTGGTGAAGCCCATGCATCGATTTTTGTTTCCATTGTGGAGGTAATAGGAGAGGTTTTTATCGGACAGAAAACAAAAACTAAGAATCTGGCAGAGTTTTTGGCAGCAAAAGTTGCGGACATGATTTTAAAAGAGTGTATGTGTTCTAAAACCCTCCTTTCTGTTTCTTTTTGAGAATAACCAAAAGAATAAAACTCGTAACCTCTTGAACTTGCATGTTGGTTCTTCCAGGGCAATTGACTCTGAAACTGGTATTTTACCAATCTAAGGAAATGGATCTTGGGTCTAAATAATATTAGTGCTAAAAACAGAAGATAAATCAATTATTTGTTCCCAAAACTTATAGGCCTGTCATATCATTGCGAATTATTTGTATACGTGTGTTAATCTTTGGTCCTTGTTTGTGAGCATTATGGCAGTTCTGAACACACCCCCCCCCCCCAAAAAAAAAAAAAATAGTCAGTAGTTATATTGCTTAGAATTATGCTTTCCTTTTCAGGCAAGTCAAATAGGGGCTGTACGATTATTACTCCTGCCTACCAAGAGCGAGAAGTGCCAGTGCTCGGATTCTCTTATTATATTCGATGTGAGATTCAAGACTCCTCCTTAAAACCAGCACTTGCTTAATCCTAGCTCAACTTCTGGGAAGGACCAGCAGGATGATAGGGGTGATTTTTCTTATGGAAACTTGTACCATTTACATCCAATTACTGATAGAAGTATGTGGTTGACAACTTCCTGGGATGCATGCAAATGGTTTTGTATTTGGTGCCTTAACTTTGTAATGATTTATCTTTTGTAGAAGTATTTATGCTTTTTAAAAGGCCTATAGTCGGCGTGGATACAAACTATTTCATGAATTTCTTGGCAGGATAGACCATTAAAGATCTATTTAAAAGTGAAGCGGATAACAATTTTCTTAGGCAATTTATGAGAACCATTGGTTAACAGCTATGTTTTTGTATACCTATTTATGCATAGCATCCTGATAATAAAAATGTCGGTCTCCTGCATTGGCAGTTTTACATAGGTGAGACACTTTTTATGCTGCACCCACCATACAAGATCTTTGTTTGCTCATGCACGTGCATTTGCTGGCATGAAAACATATTTTTTCGATTCATTTAATTAGAGTGCATCAATGGAAAAATTTTTTTACTAGAGTGCATCTCTTTTTATCTTTGGTAGTCAAATTATATGCATGCTGTTGAATATTAGCTTCTGAGATATATTTCTTACGGCCATGTTCCTCATAGCATTTTCATGTGAACTGACTGCAGTTAAGAAGATTTAGCAATCATCATCTCTCTGTTCCATTCCCACAGCCGGAGATGACTACAGATTGGCAAAGTAGTTGATCCTCATTGGATCCGTATGATCATCCTCTGCCAGAAGATGATCTTTCCACGTCTAATTTGCCCTATAAACACCAGCTATTTTCAAATCGGTTGAGGATTCAATCAAGCAGCCTGTTGAAATGAGTACCTTATCCTGCAACACGGTCGTTGTTCGTCCATGTGCGCCAAACATGAAGTTTCCTGCTGGTAGCACTGTGCTGCCCATGAGCGACGACTGTTGGGTTGCCATAAAGCTTGGATCTCAACCATGCCAGTGACTTCAATGAACGTATAGATTTTATTGCTAATGATCAGTTTGCCACGTTTCTATAAAGTGCTTTGAAACAGGAACCGCTGAATGGAATATCTTTAATTCTCTTTATCATCTTTGCTCCAGGCATAGTATTTTCTGTTTTTGCAAAACAGAACATGAGGCAAAACAGTACCATTGGCCCATCTAAGAAAATCCCTCTGATGGTTGCTTACGCCTGATGTAAGGTAAATTTTTTTGGTTCAAAAGAGATAACACACTGAGAATAAAATAAAGAATTAAAAATGGGATTCTAATTTCAAACTTACTACATATAATTTCATGAACAAAATTTGGTCTTGTCCACCAAAACCATAATTGAATGATTAAAGCTCAAAGAAAAAAAAAATGGAACCATTGAGGCTCACATGAGAACTCCCTCAATGTTACTAAGGGCTTTCTTTGCAACCTTAAATTTATTATTGACTTTCTTGGTGGATTTCACAACATACTCCTTGATGAAGAACGCCATGCCTTGTCGAAGAGTTTCAAGCTCAGGGGTGACAGCTATACGCGTGAACATGTTCCATATAAGCTTATCAGGATACTCAAAGATGGCCTCAAATAGCATTCGAAAATGCATGATCCTTTTCGGGCTTAGCATCTGGGGATTACTCCACTCAACAGTTTTCAAGACTGCAAGGGAAAGAGTAAAAGAGGCAACCATTTCTGCCATGAATTTTGCTAGGTGCATCGATCGTATAAGTGGCATTGAATCCAGCTCTTTCAAGTGGTCCCAGAGACAAAACTGTTAGAACATGCCAATTAAAGGGTCAGAGAATAACATCGCAAAAGTTCATATGGTATACCCAGTGATTTTCAATTAAAATGAAATAGTAACCGTCCCTCCCCTATAAATATCTGCACACAGGTTGATCTTGTGCATTCATCGTCCTTAATTCTCGAACGGAAAAGAAAACAATACCTGTAAGGTAAACTTGTGGTTTTTATCATGCTCACACAACTTGGCCGCAAGAACAGTGTAATACTTGTTAAACACCTTCTCTTGCAAGCAGCATTCCACAAGAACCCGCATAATATCTCGGTCCTGTATATGGATATCCAAATTAACAATTGACAAGATGAAACGTAAGTGTCTCTCTCTGAAGAATAAGAGCAGCCTACCTGCTTTCCAGGCAAATCCAATCTCAAAAGCTTTTCCAATGCATCGATGTAGTCTTCCCCACTCATTATGACACAAAAGATTGCCCTCCTGGCATCTGTATTCATCCTCTGTGCAGCAGCAAGCTCCAGCATTTTCTGGGCTTCAAGAGCCTCTTTGTCAATTCTGCTGGCAACCTCTTCAATATTATCCGTTGCAGAGGCCATGTCCCCAGATAACCACCATTGGCCCTTCTTGTCAGGATCAAGCAGCTTGCTCCATTTAAGCCCTCTTATTAAAATATCTTCAACCCTTAACTGAAAATATCAAGGGCCATATAACAATATGCAAACAAAAAGAAAAGTGCGCCAATGAAACTGATTAGCAACTTAAAAACAAATCTTCTTGATAACAATGATAAAGCTAAATACAATCCCGTATATTTTCATTGTATATTTTCATTGTTTTATAGCAGACGATAAGCTAAACTAAAAGGTCTAATTGATTGAGCAGACACTTGAAGTAAGTTAATTCAAAATCTGAAAAGGGTAAATCAAAATAAAAAAAAAAGGCTACAGAAAATAAAAAAAAAGCAATACCTTTTGCAGCCATTTCTTTATTCGAGTGTGTTGCACTGTATCCTCCTTGGGCTTTTTCTTGTTATTTTTGATATCACATATTGTTTCAAGCATGAATTCCATCTGCAAAAGTAACAATATAGGGGATTGGAAAATAGAAGAAAAAAATAGCATACTAGATCTGAAGAAAATTAATAAAAAGATTACTCTTTTGCCATTTATTTTAGCCTGGCCATCTCCAGAGGAAGTCTTTAACTCGTTCACCCTGTTTTGAACACTAAGAATGAAATTTTTCATGGTAGCAGGATCATCTCCCCTTATTTTCATCCCACAGCCTATCAATCAACGAAAATTAATGTCAGAAATAACTTGCTTGTCCAGCATCTTGACAATTTCTATGTACGCATAAATCAACATTATGCTATCATCATATACCATACAAGAATTAATTTTTGCACCACAAAATTTGCAAAAAGACGAGATGGAAAGGATAATCCATGTCAATAAATAAAAAGGAGAAAGTAATAGGTCAGTGCAAAATCAAGCTTAAGCACTTTGATCTCCATAAATTATGAACACAATTACAGGAAGGTGCAATTAAATGCATAAAAAGACAAAAAAAGAAAGAGACTTGTGATAAGCCTTACATTGTAAAACTGTCAGGATGGTAGAAACATCAATCTCTGTCAACCTCTTGCTCAACATGATCAGAAAATCATATATTAAGTCACTGAGAAGCAATCATGGAAATACTGCTGTGAGAATAGTGTTTTTAAATCATCAAAAGTCTTATTGAAATATATACCAAGTTAGGATATTGCTGCCAACTTGGAATATGAATGTACTGACCACCAAGCGGCTAGTATGAAAAATAATGGAAGCTCAAGTATCTGACCACACTGGTGATATGATAGAGATATTAAAGAAATGCTCCTAACCGTGAAACCTTTAACTTCTTGGAAATGCTTTGATAAAAGCACCCTTAATTTACCACAACAAAAAAATTTCAATAAAGTCAAGTGTCATGATTTTCTGAGAGTATCTACCTTGAGCAAACTCCAAAGATGCAGAGATAAGATAGCAAGAGAGTGAGATTTCTCAACGAAAGATTGTCTTCTTTGAGATACTCCTCCTGAAAAAAAAAAAAAGTTAGCATTTAGAATTGCAGCAGTGCAACAAGGAAGACTCTGAAAGTACACAGTAAAATATAATTACATATAGCTGGCAAATTTAAAGACTATGCCTGCTTAGAGCCATAAACTTATAAAAGAACAAATCCTGAATATAGGCATCAATCATATAGGTACATTATATAAATATATAGTAAGTCTTAGGAGACAAGCCTAAATAACAATAGAAGTACTTTAAACAAAACCACTACTTGATTTGGAAATACATACCTCAAAAATCTTGGCAAGTAAGGCCATAAGTTTTGCACTGAAGTCCATGCCAACTAAAGAAGCCATGCCAGCAACAAAAGCTGCAAAGACAGCAGCATGCCTTTACAAAGAAACAGACAACATTAACTATATATATACAAATGCTGACAAAAACAACAACCCACAAAGAAATGCAGTTACAAGTTACGACAACAACAACCTAAGCTTTCTCCCACTAATTGTAGTCAGCAACATGCACTATATTTTGCCATTCTACTCTATTAAGGATCCCCACTGTTTCATCTGGAAGGCAAATCAATAATAATTGATGATGAATAGAGTTACTATCACATCCAGTGTCTACTATTCAAACAGGACAACAGAGTTTCATATCAAAATATAGATACGCTTTCCACAACTGTGCTACTGGTATTTTTACTTTCGTATCACAGAAAGCGAGGGCATTAAACAATATTCAAAAAAAAAAAGCACACATATAAACTGCAAATTAGAAAATACTTAAAAGGAAAGAACAAAAAAATAGAGTAAAGAAAAAAGTTTTTTTTTTAATTTTTTATTAACAGGAAAAAATTCTTTTCACTTGATAATATAATGGAGAAATATAGAAGTACAGTGAGAGGCAAGGTGGCTCTTAACTGTTCATTGCCACGAGGACCATTATAACAGGATGCCAAGACCTCCTCACTGATAATCTGTGAGCTGACACTGCGACTGACGGACTGCAGAATAGGAAAATTATATAGTTGACATTATATTGTTTTAATTTCAAAATGTAAAAACAGATAATACTACATAGATAACTTCGAACTAATTTCTTCGAAAAACTACCACAAGAATGAAAAACTTTGGTATGACATTAAGTTCCTTAAATTAACTAACAAACATAAATGAAGCTTCAGTAAAACAGCAGTCCCTCCATTCAATCAGTGGGAAACACCTGTACGAGTTTCATGCACAAAAGATTGAACAGATAATCTAACAACCTTAAGTGTTTATTTTGAGTAAGGCTGCAGACATAGATTAAATCTACTGCAATAAGATTCAGAAGGATGATATAGAGACTTATATTGAAACAATAAGCTACAAATAATATAGCGGCGTACACGAAAAATTGTGGCCATTTCTCCTGTAATTGATTCCACATTAGATTCAGACAGCCTATTTAGAAGACCTGGAATATAGCAAAAAAGTAAGCAGCATGTCAAATTTTAAAAAAATGAAGTGAAAATACTGAAGTTCATAAAACCGAATACTCATACCTCGAACACGTCTACGCATTTGAGTTTGCTCCTCCGATTCATTCCTAGCACAAGATCTCAAGTGAGGAGCAACATATTTTACATTGCCCTCCATTGCAGGTGCCTTGGCTGAAGCTTCATCTAATGCTACCTCTGCATCATGGCTTTCAGAAAGCTGGGATACACCAAGCGCTGTCTCACCTGCCATATCATCTTCTTGTCCTTGCGGCAAAGACTTTCTCTTCCTACGTCTCTTCCGTGATGGAGCCTTGGCAGAAATTTCTTCCAATGCTGTCTCTGCATGCTCCTTCAGCTCAGAAGCTTCACTAGTTGAATCACCTGTCATATCATCTTCGAAAGCCTGCTCCACCGACTTTTTCTTCTTTCGCTTCTTGCTCGAAAAAGGGTCCACAGCTTCCTCATCAGAAAACCCTTCATCCAGAACTTCTTTGTTCCAAGATTCAAGAGCAGATGGAACATCTTCAAATAATATATTAAGACCATCGTCATCTCCCCTTAATTTACCACCCTTCACCTTGAGTTTCTTTGTGAGTTTCCTCTCCAATTCCAAGTCCTCTTGAGCAAGCATGTCAGAATTTGGCATCTCCATTTCAAGATACTCTTCAAACTTAGTTCTTGAAGTTCTTTTCAAACCCTTCTTCCCTTTAACCATTTTTGATTTATTAACCTCGTGATCTTTCTCAGACTTCAATTCACTAACTCGTTGCACAATGTCATTTTCTTTAAAAAACTGACTTTGTGAATTCTTTATTTTGTTCTCCTTTTTCAACTTAAAATCCCCTGATTTTCTCTTCATCCTCTGTGATTTCTGTAATCATGAAATTAAAATCATATAACAAAAGAGTGATGTTAATTGTCCCTCCAGTTTTGATCTAACTACTCTCACTCCTTGAAATTACATATAGTTATTGGATAAATTCAATGGTGCGGTCTACTAATCCATGGTCGGTATTTAGATTCTTAATCAAAATGTTTGAATTGAACCAATAAATTATTGCAATTCCAGGTGCAGCAAACACATTTTCCTAAAAAAAAAAAGGAAAAGCATACCATATAGGAATAAACATAATAATAAAAAAAAATAAACGGAACCTGGTCTTGAAGCCATGATTGATGTTTTTTCTGATTTTTTGCTAACAGAGATTCTTTTCGCTTTTGTCTACGTGATTTAGTCTCTGTGGCAGAATAAGAACAAAATTATAGACGATAATTCTTCTAATCCTCAAAATAATAAATAAAAAAAAAACACAAATTTACTAAAAAGCAAAAAAAAAAAAAGGAGGAATAACAAAAAACTAAACCATGAAAAAATTGCTTACCCATGATTCTTAATTCACCTTAATCAACAGCAAATAAACTGCCAAAACAAGAATAACCAATGTTAAAAGGCATAAATTTTAGCCAAATAGGTTGAGAATTCATCAAGAGAAAAACGCAATTACATTCAAAACCAGAAACATGAAGTTCAAATTTAACTAATTATAATAGTTTATATTACTTATTAATAAACGAGGGAAAAAAAAGAATTTTTGGGTTAAATTAAATTGCTAAAGAAAGCATTTTTATTCACAAAGTAAAGAGAGAGCACTTGGCAGTGAGTGAAGCTGGGATTGTAGATAAACCGCCTTGCTTGGTGGGCTTTTACTGAGTCGGCGAACACGGTAGAGGAGAGAGGAAGAGCGGCGGCAGGTTGGAGGAGAGAGAGTTTTTAAGAGGGTTTTGCCCAGAATGCTAGTTGATAGTCGAAACAACCATCTGGTTTCGACACTTTGAGCCACGGCTAAGCCACGTCGCCTAGCTTTTCAAATTCAAAACCGGCAACTTGCGATTGCAAGTAGCCTACTTCTTTTAAAAATAAAATAAAATATTTAATTTTGAGAAGAAAAAGAATAATCGAAGATTTTCATGTTTTATTGTTCTTTATCATTTGAAATAGGAAGCCAAAACAACTTCTGTTTGACAGGGCTTCGTCCCGATTAGAATGCCTGATACAAAAATAGTCGGGATGGGTCACAGGCGAATTAAAATGCTACGCTCTGTTTTGAAATATAAATAATATATGTTTATTATTTGTTAATTATATATTATATTAATAAATTTATTATTAAATATTTTAATTTAAAATTTTAATTTAATAAAATATTATATTTATGTATAATAAAATATAATTTATATTAAAAATAATTTTCAATCTTCCATCTACATTTATATATAATAAGAAATATGTGTTTGTAACGTTACATTCAATCTCCCAAGCTTGTAATTTTATTTCATAATCTCTCTAGATTACGACTTTTTAAAAGAAAAACTTGACAACATATTATTTTATAATTATTTGTACTATAATTTTACAATTATATAATTATTACAAAAATTTATGTACATTTCCATAAGATTATAGAAGTGTTTAGAGTGCAAATAATAAAATTTTCGATAAATTATTCATTAATATATTCAATTTATATTCATTTATATTCGTTTATTAAATTTAATAAATGATTTTAAATAATATTTTTATATTCGTCTATAAACAAACTAAATACAAACAAAAATTTATTTATTTTGTTTATATTCGTGAATAAACTCATTTAAAATTAATTTAAAATTCATTCGTTTATTATTTATTTGTTGTTCGATTACTATTCGTTTATAATAATACTAATAAAATTATATTTTTATGTTTTATCATAATCTTATTTTAAGTTCGTTTATATTCATTTAAGATTTATTTATTTAAATTTATTTAATTATAATTTATTTATTATTCATAAATATGTTTGTTTATATATGTTCGTTAATATATTCATTTAATATTAATAAATAAATTTATTTAATTTAATTAAATAAACACAAATTAAACACAAATAACTTATTATTTAAATGAATGAATAAAACAATTTTCTTAACAAACACAAACTCAATACAAGTATATTTAAAAATAAATAAACAAATAAAAATATATATTTATTTGTTTATATTCAATTTGCTTACAGCCTTAAAAATATTTTTATATAGTATTTTCATAAATCATAAATAATCCAATCCATGACTAATGATTATACATGATTGATAATTATAAATGATATACTCTCTTTATAATAATTTAATTTTTTTAATTTTAATGAAAACATATTTTATGAGCCATTGATTGAATAGAAGTAATAAATTTTTATTATAATTTTTAGAGGAAAAATAATTAATAGGCACATATTTTGGTTGGGATCTTGTTTCAAATACCATAAGCTTTCTATTCCAATCCCTTGTTATAAAATTTAATTAAAAAATTATTTATCATAAGTTATTTTGAAGAATATAATTTAAGAGAAAAGTGATTGTTTATTTTTTTCTTTTTATTTTTAAAAAATAAGTGTGCTTTAATATCGTACTAATAATTTTTCTATTATTTGATTCATTTGTTTTTTACATTGTAAGCGAGTTATTGTTTGATAAATTGGAAAAATCGAGAATTAAATTTATAATTCGAAAAATTTTAAGTACAAAATTTATGATAGTTTGTGGGTGTTTTTTAGTTTTTTTAAGTTTCACTTTGATGGTTTTGCTTGATTTATTATCTTAAATTTATAGATTATTAAATGTTTGATTAAAAAAAGATTTTTTAGTGATTAAAAAAATATATTGAGTGAGAAAATATCAATAATATTATATTAGTTTTTGTGTAATAAAAAATAAAAAAAATGATTGAGTTGCCATTTTATTAAAAAAAAAAAAATCCGGGCAAGTTAGAAAAAATGATAAAAAAAAGTTAAAAATATTAATAATAGTATATTTAGTTAAAAGAAGATTGAAGCCAACGCAGCATGATAAGGGCATTTTAGTCTTTATACAAAAATTTTAAGGAGTAAAGCACTAAAACCAACATCCGGTGACAAGTTTTGAGCTTAAAAAACTAGACAGACGTTGTTTCTTCTACGCTCGTGTGTTAAAACGCGGTGGTTCAAACAAGTGTTCATAGCATTCCTCGAGTGGGGAAATAACTTTGGTTAATATGTTAAACTAATCGATGTCAAGAAAAAATAATTTCATAAAAGAAATATTTATATATAATTTCAAATCCATAATAGTACAATTTTTAAAATCATATAAATTAATTAAAGTTTTATAATTTATTTAAAATCAACATAAAACTGTGAATAATACCCAAATAAAATTTCCAATTTTATTAAAAAATAACCAAACCATTAATCTTTTTATGGCATGAATTTAAACTTAAAAACATTTATTTTATTATAATTAAAACTTTAATAGTATAAAATATTTAATTTTTTAAAAATCTTATTAGTGGGATGATATAATTTATAAAACTTGTTTATTTAAATTTATTTAATTGAAACTGGTGATAAATATTTGAAGAATTTTTATTATAGAAACTATGGCAATTGGGTTTTAGTCATCTATTTTTTAGATTTAATATGTATAATTCTAATGAAATAAAATTTCATAGCTTGTAAAAAAGATAAAAATTTATTTTTATTTTTTTATTAAAATTCTAGTATTTATTTTGATATTATTCCTAAAAGATATTGTATATATTTCAATTGTAAATTATATATATATATACACGAAATTATACAAATGCTATAAGAGAGTTTTGGATATAATTTATATTCATCTAATTTTTTTTTATTCTGGGTATATATATCTTGTAGAATTTTTTTACCATCATATCATGTTTAATATCTATATAATTTTATTTACAGATTTACTGTAAACATTTATATGATCCACACCTGTCCCGCGAGAAATAAAAAAGATAGAATTATACACACGGATGACTGGCATTTTGATAAAAAAAACTTACCGTACCAATGTGCGATAAGATTCGTTAGTACATATATAATTCTATCTTTTTATTTAAAAAAAATTAAAGATAAATAAATTATTTAATTTTTTAAATTAAAATAAAATATTTTATATTTAACAATTTAAAATAAATAATTAAAAATTATACATTTAAAATAATTTTAATAAATGATCACCAATAACATACACATATAATTATTAGCTTGATATAAATATAATATCATGATATGTGATGAAATTATTAATTAGAATTGATTATAAAGAAATTATTTAAATATGTAATCATTGAAATAAATATGTGGATAAGTATTTTTTAAAATTATTTTTTTTAAGTACTAATATTTTTGGGGTTAGATGCAAATTCGACTATTATTGTTGTATTATATATACATAGCTAGGTAGGTGTAATTATAAACGTAGTCTATCAAGTTTGAAAAATACATGCAATCTTAGGCGGGATCAAGAACAAAATTTTGAGATATTTCAAAGTGAAAAAGCTTTAAAATCAAGGTTATGTTTGTTTTCTGAAAAATAAATTTTAAAAAATAAATTTTATATTTTTAAGTATTTATTTGATAAAAAATTGATTGATTAATAAAAAATAATTTATTGATTAACGAAAAAAATCATTTTTTAAAATTGTCTTATGAATTAAAAAATATTAAAAAAATTTGTTTATAAATAGAATTATTTATTAATATTTTAAGTATAATTTTACTTATAAATAATATTATATTAATAAATAAGTAATTTTATATTAATAAATAATATACTATTAATATAATATATTACAAAGTGATATTATAATATATTAATAAATAATATTATATTGATAAATAAATAATATACTATTAATATAATATATTAATAAATATTATTAATAAATGATATTATAAAATAGAATTGACACATAACTTTAGGTATATTTTATATGTTTATCTTACTTTTAATTGAATTAATTTATAAATTGATAAAAATTACAATATTATTTTTTTTAACAATTTGAAGAGTTTTTTATTTAAATATTTTAAATTACATATATATTTCAGTGCATTTAAATATTTTTAAAAATTATTATTATTATATATCATTATAATAGTTTAAAAAGGCGAACTGATGCGAAGCGAGGTCGGATTACTAGTTACCTTATAATTTTGTGTCCAAGCTTTTGCATGTATGACACCTGTTTAACAAGAATTGAGGGAAAAATTTTCATTTGCTGAGAATATATGGCGACAAAGAGAGGGGAAGGATCTAGAAGCTGAAAAAGGAGCGGGAAAGGAATAAAGTTTTGGCATCTAAAAAAGAGAGAAAATTAAAATAAACAAAAAGAATGGGAAAAAATTGAAAAAAAAAAGGCAAAACAAGCGATCGAGGGATAATGAGAGAAGGCTTTTCTTTTTCTTAATATATTTTTGTAAATAAAAAACTACTGCTTCCAAACAAGAATTTTTATTCATAGCAAAACATTTAATTAAAATAGATAAATTATACACTTTTTTCTTCCTTAGATCGAATTTTTTGGCAACTAAAAATGTAAAACAATCGTTTCATCCTTAGCTTAGAAAAAATCGCCTCAAAGATCAAAGAATCTTGGACTCTTGGAAGCTTATAATATATATTATTTTAAAATATTTAAAAATAGATAGAATAATTTATATATTTATATTATATTTTATATAAAAATTATGAATCATAATTTATAATTTATATCAATATAAAAATATAATATATATTATATTTTTATTAAATTTATTTATATATGTTAATTTAAAATTTAAATTATATTATTTTTATATTATTTATTTATATTTTTTATATAATAACATTATATTATATTTTAAATTATAAGATTTAGACAATTAAAAAATTAAAATAAACCATAAATATGCTGACAGCTATGATGTGGCTGTTGACGACTACTACATATTTTACTGTAAAAAAAGTCATCTTCACGACTTCCATTGATCAATTCTCAAAGTAAACCTACCGCTGAATCTATAGGTAATTGGAGGTACGCTTGCTAAAACCCTTATTGAAATTTGCTTTCACCATTGCATTTGTTCCTGTTATCATTGGGTTTCCTTTAAAAAAACATGGAGATTTGCATTTCCATTGTGGCCAAAACTTCCGAGTTTGCAGTTGTTCCAATCAAAAACCAAATTAGTTACATATTCAAGTATGAGGGCAAGCTTGAAAATTTGAAGAACGGAGTTGAGAAGCTGAAGGATGCAAGGGAAAGGGTGCGTCATTTAGTGGAAGAAGCACGAAGAAGAGGCGAAGAGATTGAGCAGGCTGTGGAAAAATGGTTGACCGAAGTCAACAACAAGCTTACTGATCAAGCTCAAGAAGAGGATCAAAACGAAGCCAAGAACAAGTGTTTATTTGGGTTGTGCCCTAATGTAAAGACTCGTTATCAGCTGAGTAAAAGAGCTGAGAAGGAGAGCAAGGCCATCGTTGAACTCCTCAATGAAGCTGACAAATTCAGCTCAGATTCGGTTTCTTATCGTCCAGCTCCACAGGAGATAATGACCACATATGTTAGAGGTTTCGAGGCCTTTGAGTCAAGGAGGCTTGTATTCAACGGGGTGTTGGAGGCTTTAAACGAGGGTAGTGTAAACATTATAGGGGTGTATGGAATGGGCGGTGTAGGAAAGACTACTCTAGCAAGACAAGTTGCTGGGCAAGCTAAGGAAACAAAGTTGTTTGATACTGCCGTTATGGCAACTGTAAAACAAAATGCAGAGATAGCAGAAATTCAACAAGAGATTGGAGATGGTTTAGGCCTGGAATTTCGTGAAAAGACTATCCTTGTTAGAGCGGATCGGCTGCGTGAAAGGCTGAAGAAAGAGAAAAGGGTTCTTGTTATTTTGGATGATGTTTGGGAAAGCCTGGATTTGGAAGCTGTTGGAATTCCTTGTGTAGGTGATGATTTGAGCTGCAAGGTTTTGTTGACTTCTAGAGATCTCAATGTTTTATCCATGATGGACTCTAAGAGAAATTTTGCTGTTGGTGTTTTAAAAGAAGAGGAAGCCTGGAACCTGTTTAATAAGATGGCTGGTGATCGTGCTGTTGAAAGTCCTGATTTATATTCTACAGCAACTGAAATTGCTAAGAAGTGTGCAGGACTACCAATTGCCATAGTTACAGTTGCTAGGGCTTTGAGAAATAAAAATCCATTTCAATGGAGAGATGCCTTGCAACAACTAAGAACACCTTCCCCAAGAAATTTCACTGGGATACCTGCTCCAATTTATTCAGCCATAGAGATGAGTTATAATCATTTGGAAAGTGAGGAACTTAAGTCAATTTTCTTGCTGTGCAGTTTGCTGTGTGCTGATACTCCTATTAGTGACTTGGTGAAATATGGCGTTGGTTTGGGCTTATTTCAAGGCATAAATACAATTGAAGAAGCAAGAGACAGAGCATACTCATTGGTCCATCAACTGAAATCTTCTTGCTTGTTGATTGACAGCTTTTTTGAGGATGTTTTCTCAGTGCATGATGTTGTTCGTGATGTTGCACTATCAATTGCATCCAGGGAGCAGCAGGGGTTTTCCTTAAGAAATGAACTTGGACCAAAAGAATGGCCACCTATGGATATGCTAAAAAATTGCATTTCCATCTCATTGTCGCACAACCATTTTGTCAAGCTTCCTGAAGAGCTGGAATGTCCACAACTACAGTTTTTTTACATTTGCAATGTGTGTCCTACTCTTAACATTGGGGACAATTTTTTCGCAGGGATGAGAAAGTTGAAAGTCTTAGATTTGACTGGTCTGCGCTTTTCATTACTACCTTCATCGGTTAGTCTCTTAGCAAATCTTGGTACATTGTGTCTGGACCGAAGCAGTTTTGAAAACATAGCTATTGTCAGAGAGCTAAAGTCAATTGAAATCCTCAGCCTTCGTGAGTGTGACATGGAAGAGCTGCCTAGGGAAATAGGGCAGCTGTGTCGGCTAAAGTCGTTAGATTTGGCTCATAATCCCAGACTGAAACTGATTCCACCAGAAGTATTGTCAAATTTGTCGGGATTAGAAGAACTATGTCTGGAGAGGAGCTTTGCGGAATGGGAAGTCAATGGCAGTGCTAGTCTCACTGAATTGAAGCATTTATCTAGGTTGACGTCTCTGGATGTACATATTCCTAATGCCCAAATTATGCCAACAAGGTTGTTCCCTGAAAAGTTGAAAAGATACAAGATTTTTATTGGAGATGTGTGGAAATGGTCTAGTTACTATAGTAAGAGGGAGTCCGCAAGAACATTGAAGCTTAAGTTAAATTCCAGCATTCAGTTGGATGAAGGAATCAGAACTTTACTGAAGAAAACTGAAGATCTATACCTAGATGACGTGAAGGATATCAAGAATGTACTTTATGAGTTAGATGCTGAAGGCTTTCCTCAATTGAAGAATCTCCACGTCCAGAATAATCTGACAATAAAACATCTCATTAACTCTGTGGAGTGGGTTCCATGCAAAGCATTTCCTATGTTGGAGTCATTATCTCTTCAGAATATGACTAGTTTGGAGAAGATATGTCATGGTAAAATTCCAGCAGAATCTTTTAGCAGGCTAAAACTCATAAAGGTTTCGCATTGTGATGGATTGAACAATTTGTTCTCACTGTCCGCAGCCAGAAGTCTTTTCCAACTTCAAGAAATTGAAGTAACTGACTGTGAGAGCATCACAGAGATTATTTCCGAGGAAAGAGAGGCAAACATTGAAGAAAATGAAGCAATGAACGAAATAGAGTTCTGTCAGCTTCGGTCCTTGAAACTTGGACGTCTGTCGAATTTTGTTCACTTCTGCTCGGGAGAGGAAATTCCTTTAGCATCTGAACATGAAAGAACTCAATCGAGTATTGAGACAAGGTCTAAGGAGAGGATGCTTTTCAACAAAAAGGTACTTGTTAAGGCGATTTATTGATTAATACAAGTTATTTTATTACTAATCAATAATTGAATTTGATTAAAATTTTATTATAAGGTGATTTATTGATTAATTTATATAATAATTTTAGGTGAAGAATAAAGATTCAAAACAAAAACAATTATTGATATATAAAGAGGAAATAAACAAGGGTGTAAAAATTATTTTGAAAAAGGATTAATGAAGTTGGAAACTAACTACCAAGTAACCAGTCATGTAATTTTTATATTTTGAAAAATTAAAAAAAGGCCAAAAAATCACATTGAGTTTTAGGGGTTTAATAGTAGCCTGACAATGATTTCTTTTAATATGTATTAATCATTTTTCCTATGGATATAGGTGACAAAAATTGAATCATGTTATATGTTGTGTTTTTTCTTTAATTTCTTTATTCTAATATGAATTTTATCAGGATGTGTTTCCGAATTTGGAGAATTTGAATCTGTTCTCAATCAACGTTGAAAAGATATGGTATCATCCTTTTCCAGCTAATTGTTCTACCATTCGAAATTTGACAACACTCATTGTGGCTGGCTGTGGCAATTTAAAATGTCTTTTGTCATCTTCGATGGTTCAAAGTTTCGTGCAGCTCAAAATGCTCCAGATTACTAATTGTGAGATGGTGGAAGAAGTAATAGTTGCAGAAGAAGAAAAAATAAGCAAGATGATATTCCCTAAACTAGAGTCACTGCAGCTCTATGACCTTCCCAAGCTTACAAGTTTCTGCTCTGAAACTTCAATTGAATTCTCTTCTCTAAGTGAGTTGTATATAAGAAACTGCCCTTGTTTGAAGATGTTTATCTCAGGCTTCATAAATGCTGGTATGACAGAAGGAAAAGAGGCAATGAAGAACAACTCAGAGGAGAACACCCATACTGAAATACCAGTTCTTTTCGATGAGAGGGTGATTCATTATTCCCTTCTTTATTCTTCTTTAAATGCCTTTTAGTAATTTGAAAGTTCCTATTTATAGGTTCCTACTTTCCTAGTATTCTAAATTTGGTATTTACTTAGCTGTTCCTTGTACTATATCTTGGAATATGCTCAATTATAATTGCAATCAACTTTCTGTAGGTGGCATTTCCTATGTTAAACCGATTGGATATTTATAAGATGGCTAGCTTGGAAAAGATATGGCATGAGCAACTTTCCGTGGATTCCTTTTGCAAATTAAATGATTTTTGGTTGGACTCCTGTGAGAAGTTAGTGAATGTTTTTCCATTTAGCATGCTGGAAAGACTTTGGAAACTGGAGATATTAGAGATAGCCAACTGTGATTCCCTGGAAGAAATTTTTGAATCTCAAAGATTCCATGCTCATGAATCATGTGCTGCAAAAGCCACTCAATCGACAGCAGTAGAACTAGTCACTAAGTTTGCATTTCCTCAAGTGAGGTTCTTACGATTGACAAAGCTACCAAAATTAAAGAGTTTCTACCCAAGAATGCATTCTACAGAATGGCCATCATTGAAAAGAATGCAGGTAACAGCATGTGACAAAGTGGAGATATTTGCTTCAGAATATCTCAGCTTGAAAGAAATCCATGGAAAGACCCCATTCGAAATTCCAATTCAACCCTTGTTTTGGGTGAACAAGGTATGACCCAATAAACTTCAATTTAAGGTGTGCTACTTTGGAAAATCTGGTTTATATGTTTATTTGATTTCCCTTCAATTATGATTTCATAATGTAAGGTTTTATTAGCAGCTTGCCAACACGATGGGTGTTAAATAATCATTTTCTCATTTAAGTGTTCTCACAAAGATATAGTCAATTGGTTTCTAGCATATTAGGAAAACTTGCATCTGCCTAACCGTCCTCAACTTCAAGTATATTCTAAAATGAAGGAAAGGAAACTGTCCTGAACTTTAGGTATATGCTAATGAAGAAAATATGTGTGTGTGAGTGAGAGAGATTATTAGTAGATATGTGAGAATATTAGATAGAAGAGAGTTACTCAATTCTGCTGCATGTACAAAATTAATTGATAATTTAGCCATGCAAGAAGACTTATCAGATATAAATCTGGCTGGATACATGATGGAGTTTGAACTATTTTTACATCCTTTAGATAGTTCATCCGTATCTTTTAATAAAACATGTTTTCAATTACGCAGGTTACATTCCCTAGCCTAGAAGAATTGGTATTAGTTAGCAATGAAATGATGAAGGGGATTTGGAATGGACAAGCTCAGGCAGAGTGTTTCCGCAAGCTAAAAGTTCTTGAGCTCAGAGGGTTTCCTAAGCAGTCAGCTTCCTTGGCATCTTGTTTCTTCAGTTCGTTAATGAGTCTTGAAAAACTTGTCATAGGTGATGCTTCTTTTGACAAGATATTCCAATGTGAAGGGCTTGCTGGTGAGGAAAAACATGCATGGACATTTCATTGTTTAGCTGAGTTAAAGCTGTTTAAACTTCCTGAGCTGATGCATCTTTGGAAGGAAGGATTCCATCCTGGACCAATGTTCCAAAACCTGAGAAATTTAGAAGTTCTGGAATGTGACAAATTGAAGAATTTAGCACCATCTTTAGCGTCTTTCCAAAACCTAAGGATATTGGAAGTATCGAAATGCCATGGGTTCATAAATTTGGTAACACACTCAACAGCCAAAAGCTTGATGCAGTTAACTAGAATGAGCATAACACATTGCAAAATAATAGAAAATATAGTTGCATGTGCGGATGATGGCATAAAGGATGGAATTGTTTTTTCTCAATTGAAATGTTTGAAACTTTTTTGTCTACCAAACATTGAATGCTTCTGCTTGGGAAGCTACCCCCTTGTATTCCCATCTTTAGAAGAACTAATTGTGACAGAGTGCCCAAAGATGAAGATTTTCTCAGAGGGAGAGTTAAGTGCACCAAAGTTGCAAAAAGTGCAAGTGACAGAAGGTGAAGCTGAAGGGCATAAGGAGGGAAGCCATAACACCACCATACAGGAGCTATTCAAAGAACAGGTAAGTTTTTCGAACGAGTTCCTTGCATTACCTAAAAATTTAAGTCCTATTTGCTTTTTTTTTTATTTTCACCCTGATTAAAGTGATGGTCTAATTAGAAAGCTTTTAACTGCAAAGTGGCTTTCTATAACCATTTTTGTGCATATGCCTCTGTGAGAAACCCTCAGAATGCTTGCTCTTGAACTTATTTAACCTCATTCAGAACTAATTTTGTTGTATAATTTTAATTTGCGGCAGAAGGAATTTTGAGATATAAGTTAAAGTTTCATTATATTTGGTTTTTTGTTCAATTTTATGTTAGATTTATCCTATATGCTGATCAGTTGGTTTACCGTTTGGTTTATTTCAACGATTTCTTTTATGTGAGATGTAATAGTAATTTTTACTTGTACATATAACTTCATAAAATAAGCTATTGGATTGGATAATAAAATAATTTCATCAAAACAACTATATGAATTTCAACCACATAATTTCATCAAAACAAACCAGACCGCCACCCACTTTAAATTGAAAGCCTTTAACTTTGCAAATAGCTCCAATAAAATTAGCTGCCGTAATGTTTTTGTTCTTCAGAATAGTGATCTTGAAATTATAGAGAAATTCGAAATAATGAAAAATGATCCTAATGTAACTTGGTAGCTTATCATTTTAAACTCTGCAAACCAAATTAACAGGCCACCCTATCTGCTCAATGATTTCAATCTTATCTGTTCAATGAATTCTAGCTTTTGACCTTTGTTGTTTCTGTTTTTTTTTTTTATTATTGCAGAAGGTCAAGACTTCTAAAGAAGTTTAAGATAACCATTCGTTGCCCACAATGGATTAAGGTAAAAGATGAGGTCAAGCTCATTTGAACTTATACATGAAACTCGTCTTTCTTTTTTTTTTTTGTTTTTTTTGTCATATTAGCATATTGAAATCGTGTTGAATCATGTAACATAAACACATTTTCATTGAAATAGTATTGTGGGAACATGCATGTTTTTCATTGACATAGTGGATTTTCTGTTCACCATTCAGTTTGCTGAGACACTCATTCTTTAAAGAGTTCTCATGACCATGTTTTTTGTATCCCAGGTTGAATCTGCGGAAGGGTCCCTTTTGTTCGTATGAATGACCAACCTTTAAAGCAATCTTTTGGATGGGTTCATTCAATGCTTGATATTTGGTATGTGGAATGGATGATGTTTTGCAGTGGAAAAACGAGTCTGGGCTGTTGGGTTTTTTTTTTTTTGGATTGTCAGTAATTTCATTGGGCTATTCTGTAGAAGAAAAGTTTTTAAGGTATTGAACTTTTATAGTCTTCAGGTGGTTTGAGTTTGAGTTGGGCTGTAATACTTTTATAATTTTAAGAATTATCAACTTGTATAAATTATTATTTATTTAGTCTTTATTACTTATTAATAATTACTCAATGGATTTGTGACTAAGCAAAAGTCCAAAAACTTTTTCTTCATTTTCTTTTCCTCTTTTATTTAAAGAAACAAGAAATAATCCTTAAAGAATAAATAAAAGGAATAAAGAAAATGAGGGATTAAGTTATCATAATTAAGGCTTTTGACAACTATAAAAAAAATAATAAAAAAAAGATTTAAGGCTTTGACAATGGCAACCGAGTTTTAGCGTCAAAGCGATAGTTTTGGTGCGATGGAAGTCCCATTCTCCGGTTCAACTAAGTGAAATATTGATCGTCAAATAAGCACCTCTCCCTTTTCCTTTTTTGTTTCATTTTGCAGGTAAGCCATAAATTTTGTACAAAAAAATGTAAGCCCCTTCTTAAAATGCAAGCCCCTGCAGGCGGCTGCAAGCTCTCACCGACCGATAATCCTGATGTTCCATAAATAATTGACCGCATTAGAGTGACTTGCCAGAACACGAAAAATGTTAGAAATATTTTGAAAATATAAAAAATAATTTAATTAAATAAAAATTTAATTGTAAGAGAAATCATATTAAGATTTGTAATAGTTTAAGGTAAAATTTTTATGGTCTAAAAAACATAAAGGAATTTAAAAGAGAGGACTGTCTAAGAAAGCAATTGACTACCGTATCATAAACAGTCGATTGCCTTTGGTTGTCAAGGAGGGTAATCGATTGCTATACTTATACAGAAACTAAGCAAAATCTGACACTCAAACGTACAAAGGCAATTGTCTAGCTTAGGCAATTGATTGCCACAACCAAAAATCAATACCAGTCGATTCTTTTGCCAAGGAAGTCGACTGCTATTGCATAGACAGTCTTCTGAATGAATTAAAGGTTCAAGGTAGTTGATTGTTATAGAGGGAAATCGATTGCCCTGATGATGAACACTTTCCAAAAAGAGTAAGAAGTCAATTATCTATTGTTACAAATCTATTAGATCAGTAGTGGAATCGATTGCTTTAGTAAAGGAGTCGATTGTCTTTTTTCTTGTATTTTTGGGACATAGAAAATACAAAAAAGCAGTTGATTACATTATTGAAGCAGTCGATTCTCTTACGTGAAAAGTTACAAATTAAAAAAAAAAAAAACATGAAAAGTAATTTTTTTTTAAGAATAAAAAGATTAACTATTCAAATGACTCTTAATGATTAAACAAAGTATTTTTCTTGTTAAAGGGAGTGATTTTTTTATTGAAATAATATAATTAAAAACTCACAATCTTAGTATATAATCTTTATAAATAGAGATTGTAAGTGGTCATTTGAGATAGTTTAAGAAATTAAATAATTTCATAAATTCTTTCTTTCTCCAATTCTGATCAGAAAGTAGCTAGTTACTTTAACATAACTTTTGTAAAATTAATGTTCAAAATATGATGTTTTCATTAAGAGATATTTAGTGATTTAATATCGTAAGTGTAAAGTGAAATCAAATAAAATTTCATTGTATTTTGGAGGTATTTCGATTATATCTTTTTTGTATACTATAATTAATAGGACAAAATAAACCTTAAAAAAATGACATTTGCAGTACATCTTGAAATTATTTTTTCTATTCTTTGAATACTTCATTTTAAATTCGATAAAACTTAAAAGGAAAGACTACAACCAAAAATACAAATAAAAAATCATCATCAACAAATTATTGATAAAGCAAGTCTCGGAACTAACAAAGAATGTGGTCAATTATGGATGGAGCATCAAGGTTCTTTGTTTGAAGGTGATCAGGCAATCTAAATGAGAGCTTACAGCTAGCTTTTGCAAGACTAGGATTCGTAATCGTTGGAGTATCACTTAAATGGATTGGAGACTTAAGTGCATCAATCCTTCTAATATTCCTAGTTAAGGGTCATGAAAAAAAATTAATTCCGGGGACATTTAAGGGTTTGGAAGGCATAAACAATCTTGTAGATGTGGGATCACAAGAAAGGATTGAACAAGAATCGAATTATCCATTCAAACCCATAATTTTATCTAATAATTATATGGGTTTGGATTAATATAAGCTCATAAGGCTGGTTTGGACACAAAAGTAATCGTCATAATTTCATCTTAGGCTTGAACAAATATTTTCAAGTTCAGAATTTGAATCGAATTCGATAATTAGTGCATTGATAAAGCAACTGGGATTGTTTGACTCCTTTTTAAATTTTAATCATATGTATCAACCGATTCTCTACAGCTACCATCTCTCAATTTCAAATGTTTTTGTTAAACTTTATCTCTCAAGTTTTTTTTTTTTGTCTCTATCTCGAGTCAAAAGTTCATCTTCAATCTCACCTGATTTCATTACTTTCTCTCAATCAAAGCCTAATCTTCTAAATTAAGTTTAGAAACTTCGGCAAAAGTCAACAATCACCGCAACAATTCAAGTCTTCAACCCACGTGGGATCTACGTAATTATCGTTACTCTTTATTTTTATTTTTTATTCTTAAATCTGTATTTTGATAACATTGTGTTCACCGTGAGAATATTTAATGTATATTTTCGTATCTAATCTTTTAATAAAGATGATAATATGATAGCGAATCAAGGATAAATAGAAGAGTTTCATTTTGACAAACATTAAAAAAAAATGTTAAAAGTGCTGTACGGCCTTGACAATTTAATTATCCAATTTACTCAAGGAAAAAAACTTATAAAAAAGATAACAAAACTACGTATGTAATGATCTCATGCCCTTCTAATTTATTGACTGATATTAACGAAACCCCTTATCTTTTCAAGACTTTTCATGTATGTGTAGTCATCTCTTCTAGAACTATTGCTGTTGACCTAGAATATTTGAATAAAGAATGAAAAAGAATGAATGTTCTGTCACTTCTTCTGTCCTTTTCGTGGCCATATTCAACAAATATATATGTATAGTAAAAAATAGTAAGTAAACACTACTATTCAAATTAAGTAAACACTACTTGTCTCGATAGATGACAGCCCACTTAGCCTCCATTTTGGAAATCAACTAATTTAACTTTGTTCTTTTCCCTCCACTGTCGAAAATTCAGCTGGTTTACAGGTCCTTAGTTGGTAAGAGAAGATAAAGAATATTATTTATATTTTAAATTTATTAATTATTATCTTGCATGAATCAATTGAATTTCGGTTTACTAAGTTTCTTTCCCACCAAACATTGGATGCTATAGCTATAAAGGGGGATCGGTGTTGCAGCTAGGATGAGTGTCATAGTTTTGGGTTATTTTTGAGAGCAATATACAATAGCTCTCGGGTTGGTTTTGGGGTTTCTAACTTTTGAGTATCAAAATACTTTGTAACTTCATCTTGTTTTTCCACAGCTAGAATCAAGCACCATGGGTTCACTTCCAGACCAGCAAAACATTTCATCAAATCAAGAAGAAGAGAACATCTTGCAAGCCATGCACTTTGCTTCAGTTTCGTCACTTCCATTTGCTTTGAAAGTTGCCATTGATCTTGATTTGTTAGAGATCGTAGCGAAAGCCACTACTCCTAGTGGTATGCTCTCGCCTGCTGAGATCGCCTCTCACCTTTCTACCAATAACCCAGATGCCCCATCCATAATTGACCGAATTTTGAGACTTCTTGCTACTCACTCTATTTTAACATGCGACCTTGTCACCGGTGAAGATGGACACACCCAAAGATTATATGGCCTTGCACCCGTAGGAAAATATTTTCTTCAAAATGAGGATGGAGTTTCCTTTGCTCCATTGCTACATGTCTATCTTGAAAAATACATCATCGAATGTTGGTTAGTCCTCTGCATCCCTAATATTCCTTTATCTATATATCATATCAAAATTCACGCACATGCATGCTCACATACGCATATATATTATATTCAATAATTATGATTTTTAATCTAACATTTTCTTGATGATATTCTCTCATATAATAGTGAAAATTAATGTGATTTGTCAAAATTGTCACTGACAGGAAATACTTGAAACCAGTAACATTAGAGGGTGGCTTCTCATGCGTCAAAGCATTTGGGGTGCACTGGTTTGAGTTGCTGGGAAATGATAGTGAAATGTCAAGCACGTTCAATAGAGCAATGTCCGTTTACACCATTCTTGTGATGAACCAAATTCTAGAAACTTACAAGGGATTTGAGGGTGTAAGCCAAGTGGTAGATGTGGGAGGTGGAGTTGGTACAAATCTTAAGCTCATAGTTTCCAAGTATCCACAAATTAAGGGTATTAATTTTGACCTCCCTCAAGTCATTAAAGATGCACCCGATTGCCCAGGTAATTCTCAATCTATTTTTCTCTTTTAGTGCCTATGATTTTTTTGTACTTCAAATTATCAAAATTATAATTTTAATAATTGAAATTAAGAGTTCACTACTTATTAACAGACCATATGATTGTTGACGATTTCTTTGTCTTGCTAATCTAGAGTTTAATAACTTTTTTTTTTTTAATTTTCTTTTCCACATATTAGGGGTGGAGCATGTAGCAGGAGATATGTTTACAGAAATTCCTCGAGGAGAAGTCATTTTCATGAAGGTTAGTGCGTAGAAATATTTTGATTTGCTTTAAATTTTTTTTCAAAACTAAAATTAATAGTATATATTACTTCATTGGTGTCTTAAATATTAGAATTTTGACTATGACACCTATCATGTGGGTTGTAATTATTAATTAGGTTAATTAGAATTCACCACCTAGTCAAAGAAAAGAAGAGGAATGTTTTGAATGGATATTTCTTTAAGCAAATGACCATTCACGAACAAAGTACAAGTATGGGCCTCACCAAACTTAATAAATACCGTTTAACTTATAAATAGTCCTTTGTTCTTAATTTATTGATCAAAATTTAATTTTTAACTGTCTTAAATATTAAAAAAAAAGTCGACTACATAACATAAAAGAGCTAAACAAAGATTATAGAATTTGGGGATTTGAACACTGGTTTGAATTAAAAAATACATGTTTTTTGAACTTACAGCCCACCCAAACATAATTAATTAAGGGACCCAGTTCTAAGTACAAAAATACTTCAAATAATTTGTTGTTTATATGTGAAATCACAATCATATATATAAATATTTTGATAATTAATGAACGTTAATTGTCATTGTTTACATCTTTTTTAGTCAATGCTTCACGATTGGGGAGATGATCTATGCTTGAAGTTATTGAAAGTATGCTATAATGCACTACCTCAGTCTGGTAAAATTGTACTCGTGGAAGCCCTAATACCAGAAGTACCCAAGACTGACATTGTGACAAAGACAATCCTTCAACGTGACCTTGGCTTGCTTCACATTCTTCCTGGGGCAAAGGAGAGGACCAAGCAAGAGTTTGAGGCATTGGCAAAACAAGCTGGATTCGCTTCTTTCAAACTTGTTTGTCGTGCTTATAACCATTGGGTGATGGAATTGCACAAAAGTGCGATCAACGACTCAGCTTAGTCTATCATCGTCAACCTTGCTAGTTTCATCAATAATCATCAGCTCCATGATCCACGATGATCAGCTGGTCACCCTTTTTTTCTTATAATAAAATGTTTATCGATAATATTGCATGTGTCTTATTAGCTAGCTAGGCTCTAAAGTTTAAATTTGGTACTCTTTATCTTTGTATTTCCTAAATTTAGTGAGAATGGAATGAACTTATATAAATTTTCCTTTAATTTGTCCTAAATTCAAGAAAATATTTCTTTTCCAAGCCCCAACACCTAAATTAAGTTAAGGTGATCAGTGATGAATCTAAAATTTTTCTTGAAGATGTCTACATATATATTATATATATATATATATAGATAAATATATAGACAAAAAAAGTATTCAAATTTTTTTTTGAAAGTATTTAAAATGAAATTTTCTTTAAAATTTTTTTGTTTTTCAATATTTGAGAGGGTCATCTTACATTTCAACGTGGATTTAGGGAAAGCAATAATCGGTTTTAATAATAAAAAAAAACTAAAAATTGGCCTCAAAGGTAAATCAATTTCGATTTTTTTTTTCGGTTTAATAGATTAAATTGATTTGAGGTTTGATCTATGCAATGTAATTGGTTGGTTTTTGATTCAACAAATTAATTAAGAATTGAACCGATCGAAAAGATTGACATTTAATATTTTATGTTAAAAGTAATAAAAATATTATTAATAATTTATATTTTAATTTTTTCAATTACCATTTATCCTTAGATTTTTCTAGATCAATATTTACCAAATCCTAAAATTTTAATCTTGTTAGAAATAGTTATTCAAATCTTATAAGAAATTTATTTGAGATTAGCTAGATATTACTTGATAGACAAAAAGACTTACTGTCATAACATATAGATCATAAATCTATAGCTAAACTTAAAAAGATGAGTTAACACCAATCTTTTTTAGTTAGATGTGATTGGTCATTTAAGAAATATATTCTTTTAAGAAACTCTTAAGCTTGACTTAGGGTTTCTAAAAGAATATGTTCTATTCCACTAACCAGAACATGATTTGAGAGTTCGATTATATATAAGAAATGTTATAGCATCCTAACATGCCCATCCAAAAGATAGTATCATTTTATTTTAAATTATTCTAAGGTTTTGATTCTTATGCCATTAAATTTTAATGTTTAAATATTAAAAATAATTTTTAATATTTCTCTATTAATTTGGTAGAATTCTTAAAAATATGTCATTACCTCAGGAGTATTTAAGAATCTCATTTGTTTTCTTGAAAAGGCTCCATCTTTAGAAAAAGTTTAATCATTTTTTTATTTTAGTGTTTTTATTGAAAATATATCTAATTATTTCACAATTTAGGTCAAATTAGAAATATATTTTCACTTTGAGATTTCTTAGATAATTAGATGTCTACGATTACTAAGAATCTCATCCTCGAAATTTATTTTTTATTTTTTATTTTTATTTCTAAATTTTTCACAATTTGGGTCAATTTAGAATTTTTTTATTTCTAAATTTTTCACATTTAGATTTATTTATAAATTTATTTATTGTTTTTATATTTATCTTTGAAAAGAAAATAATATGACAATCATTTTTTTGAAATTTCATTTAAATTATTTTACCATTTGGAGCAAATTTAAATAAATTTCTCATCTAGAGATTTTTTAAGAAATTTACTATTAGAAATTTATAAGATTCTTATCTTTAGATAATTACCAAATATTTTCAAATAAAATTTTTTTATTTAGAAAAGAATACAGTTACTTTTATTGAAATTTCATTTAAATTATTCTATCATTTGGGACAAATTTAAATAAATTTCTCATTTAGAGATTTTATAAGAAATTTATCATTTAAAATTTCTAATAATCTTATCATTGGATGATTAGTATTTAAATTTCAATAATTTTTATTAATTTTTATATCTTTTTTTATTGAAAATAAATATTAATTATTATTATTGAAACTTTATCTAAATTATTTCACTATTTGGGATAAATTTAGAAAAAATTTCTTACCTAAGAATTTCTTAAAAATTTACCATTTGAAAATTTTGAAAATTTTATTATTGGATAATTATTATTTATTCTAAAAAAATACTTTATTTTATTTTATATTTTTTAATTTTTCTAATTTTTAAAATTTAATCATTTAAAAATACTTTAAAATAAATAAATAAATAAATAATAAATAAAAATATCAAAAAATAGAAATGACTTGGCTTGATGGCTTAGAAGATGTGGCTTGGTTGTAGGCAAGGGAACTGGCTAGAATGCATAACTTATGGCTCGATTGGGCTCGACTGGAGCTAAGGATGGGGATGCGAGTTGAAAGCAGGTCAAGTGCTCGGGTCGGGTCGGCTTGAATAGAAACATGTGGATCTTGAAGTCGTTTAACCTCCAAAATGACATCGTTTCTGGGCAGTATAAAAGGCAATAATCCTCTTTTTTTTTTTCTCAAATCTTCTCTTCTCTATTTTCTCTTATTTTCTTTTCCTTTCTCTTTCTCTTTAGAAAACAATAAACATTAGTTGAATCTTCATTGGATTTTGAAAATTTATGTTGGAATCTAGATTGGTTTGCCAGACATTTGTTGAAAATTCACTAGTTTTTGAAAAACTGACGTCGAAAATTAAGAAGTTTATTGAAATCTAGAAATCTCATTGGAATCTTCAAATATCATAAGAAAATTCAACCAAAAATTTGAAATTTTTCAAAAAAATTTTCAAAAAAAAATTTTTCTTTTTAACCCAAAAAATCTTAAAAATTTTTGTATTCTCTAGTTTCTTTTGCATGCTTTTTTCTTTGATCTCTATGTGTATTTTTTCTCTGTCTTTCTGTGTCTCTTTGCTACTTGTTGTGGGTGTGTATTTATAGGGTTTAAATTAAAAAAACCCTAAACCAAAAAAGGGTTTTAATCCCTTTTAAGTTTTAACTCCAAATTTTAAGCCTAACTTAAACTTTTCAGTCCATACACAGTTTTCACACAAATACAACCTGCTAGATTTTTATTTTTTTATTTTTTTATTTTTTTGTTTTTTCATTTTATTATTATTATTTTATTAACAAAATCAAAATTAAGTAGAACCTCAGACAGATTTAGGTGTTTATAGCTGCCTTCTTTGTACTTTTTTATGAAACAAGAATTGTGCAGAAACATAGATAGCCCAATCAAGAATCAACTTGACATATATATATATTTTAAAGCATACTCAAACTTCTTGAACAACATACAAACTCCTATAAATAGAGATTTCACAACTTTTGAGAAATAAATAAAGCTCTTCTAAGTAGAGGCTCAATGACTTTTGAAAATAAACTAAGGCTCTTTTAAACAAAGGCTGAAAGACTTTTGAAAAATAAACAAAGCTCCTTTAAGCAGAGGCTCAACAGCTTTAAAAAATAAATAAGGCTCATCTAAATAGAGGTTTCATGAATTTTGAAAAATAGATAAAGCTTATCTAAATAAAGGCTCATAACTTTGGAAAATAAATAAGGCTTCTCTAAACAGAGACTTAACTACTTTTGAAAAATAAATAAGACTCCTTTAAATAAAAGCTCATGAGTTTGGAAAATAAATAAGGCTTCTTTAAGCAGAGGCCAACAATTTTTGAAAAGTAGATAAGGCTCTTCTAAAAATAGGCTTAACAACTTTTGAAAAATAAATAACGCTTCTCTAAAGAGAGGCTCAACTATTTTTGATAATTGAATAAAGCTTTTCTAAATAGAGATTAAACAACTTTTGAAAAATAAATAAGGCTCTTGTAAATAAAGGCTTAACGACTTCAAAAAATAAATAAAGCTCCATGATAATCATGTCCAAAGGTCTTATAGATCATCAGAAGAAATAATAGGAGATTATGCCCAGAGGTCTTACAATTGTTCCTAATTTTGAGAAATATCCTTTTTCAAAGATCAAAACCTTACCTTAGAGGTCTTTTTTTTTCAAATAAGAATTTGAAATTCTTTCATTAGAAAGTTTCATATCTATCTTCTCCATGTGTTATTTTGAAATATCTCTGCTTCATGTACTAGATATTCTCAAATGCAATGCATGGTATGCACTAAATATTCAAAAATGCAATGCATGCTATGCAAATATAAATTAATTAATTTCTTTTCAATTGTGGTACTCAAGTTTCTCAAGCTCTTTCTTGAATCCCAAACTATCTTTAGGTACTAAGACCAAATCAATATAATTCTCAATCATCCATCTCATTTAACTCCCATATTCTCTTCTTAAAGAAATCTTTTTCTAAATTCAATGTCATTATCAGGAGCTGAACATTTCATATTTGTCTTTATCACTCTCAACCTTTTCCAAGTAAAAAAAAACTTTCATGCTACTATTCATTTATCAATTATTATTTCAATTTCAAAAAATAAAAATGCAATCATATATTTCTTCTATTGCAAGGTATTAAGGGAAAAGAGCAGGAATAGCTTGAGAACTAATCAACAAAAAAGAGGCACAAGAAATGAAATGAAATATCTCTTATTAAACAATGGTAGTACAACTTCCTGGTGTAAAGGAAAGGACCAAGCTAGAGTTTGAGGCATTGGCAAAACAAGTTGGATTCGCTTCTTTCAAACTTGTTTGTTGTGCTTATAACCATTGGGTGATGGAATTGCACAAAAGTGTGATCAACGACTCAACTTAATCTATCATCTCCAACCTTGCTAGTTTCATCAATAATCATTAGCTCCATGAGCCACGATGATCAGCTGGTCAACCTTTTTTTCCTCATTATAAAATGTTTGTCGATAATATCACATGGCTTATTAGCTAGCTAGGCTCTAAAGTTTAAATGTGGTACTCTTTATCTTTGTATTTCCTAAATTGAATGAGAATGAAATGAACTTATATAAATTTTCCTTTAATTTGTCCTAAATTCAAGAAAATATTTCTTTTCTAAGCCCCAACACCTAAATTAAATTAAGGTGATTAATGACGAATTTAAAATTTTTCTTGGAGATATCCACATATATTATACATATATATAATTATCAATAAATTTATCGATAAAAAAAGTATTCAAAAATTTTTTTGAAAGTGTTTAAAAGAAATTTAATTTTTTTTTTGTTTTTCAATATTTGAAAGGGTCATCTTACATTTGAACATGGATTTAGGGGAAAGCAATAATTGGTTTTAATCAAAAAAGTTTATTACAAATTGGCTTCTAAGGTGTAAATCGATTTTGTTTTTTTTTTTTTTTTTC